GAAACGTCGAACGCCTTCACCGTTTGTGCCCCGTCGCACACCATCGCCGGCATCCCGCTATCGGCGCAGCCGATCCCGAAGCCGCTCTCGCTCACGCAGTCGGAGTCCGCGTCGCTATCAGTCTCGCTACCCACAGAGGGGTATGGGCCACGGTCGCGGCAACGGAAATCGCAACAAGTACTCCTGGTACAATCACGATTCACGCAACGTATCCCGCGCCGTAGAGCCAAATGGCAAGGATGACAAGGCACCTACTCCGCCGAAGAAGGGTAGTGCCGATGATGGAGGAGATGCCGGAAAAGCCACGGTTATTGCCAAGCCCACGGTGGAGCAGATGGACAAGATGATTTGGGAGGCGCAGAAGGAGCGCAAACAGGGCCACGTCGGGACAACCAAGGAACTCAAGGAGTAGACACCTCAACAATAACACGCACTACGAGTCTTAAGTTTCCTTTTAGCTCATAGCGTTAATTTGATTTTGATATTCAAATTTGTATAACGCTCCCTTTGGGATTTGTTCTTTGATTACTAAATAAAGAAGCTTGCGAAGCGAATTTATTACAAACTTATATCTATCAGTCGATCATTGGTTCTTTTCAGACAACAAGTGATTAGGTAAGATTTAATTAAGTATATTGTAACAAAATGTTACTAAAAATGTTTCTTAATCCCAAAGATCGACTAAAACTAAACTAATCAAGATGTCTAACCTGGAGGAGGCAGTGAGAAATTATTGAAAAAAAAAAACATTAATGTAATAATGTTAAAATATGAAAAATATTTCGAGCAACTCAGAAATTGTATATAAAATAAAATATGTTAACCGTCACTTGGAATCTTACCAAAATTATTTAAATGTGATTATGAAAATGTTTTTTAGCTAAAAAATAAATGTACGTAAAACATGTAAGTATATGAATCAAGTACCTTTGCAGAATTAATCAATATTATGAAATGAGCCAACAGTGCTAGAAAAGAAACTAGTTTTCATTTTTGTATTTCAGATATCATAGATTTTGCATATGGAAGGAACTAAGTCCAAACTGCAGTCACTTCCAATCGACGCAAAGTGAGAGTGAGGGAGACCCCCAAAAGCGGAGAGCGCAAATATCCCCCCAGTGCACCTTAACATATCTGCATGCTGCACTTTCGCAGTGAGCGCAACAGAGAGAAAGAGCGAGAGAGGTAAAAGAGGGAACGAACAACCGGCTGTTGGTTGGGGCTCTTGAGAGAGCGAGAGCGAGAGAGCCAAGCCTGGAAGCTAAACAACAAGCATCGAGCAAACACAAGAGATAACGACTTGTTTCATTTGATATTCGCCAGCCGGCAGAAGCGGAACAAACAAAAAATAAGAAAAAATACAAATCGGACGCCGCAGCTGCGGACACGAAATTAGAATACTTACGGCGACAAGTTATCGCGCAAATTAGTACGCGGGCGAGAATTGCTACCGAGATACGTCGGCGGACACCCCAAATTTTTTCCCAGAAGCCAAGGTGCCGTGTAAGTGTGAAAGGAGGTGGTTTTACCAGCTGCTAATTTATATAACTATGAAAGCCGCCAGTAAAAGTGCAAGGCCGCGTGCAGTGCAGAAATTCAGAATTGCGGAAAAACAACTCAACACGCGCGACAAAACTAAACCACGTACATATGCATACATATAGTGTCTATAATTTTCCGTGCGGACTTTGGACGATAAGCGGGCGACAACAACAATATCTGGTTATATGAAGAAGACAAAGAACATAAGGCTGAAAAGCCACGCTTGTCTCTCCTGTTTGTTGTTATTGCTGGTGGCGCTCTTTTAAGTGTGTGCGCTACACTTGTTGCCATGCGGCATGTTGGTTCACGGGCACAACAGCTGACAAGTGATTTAGGGTTATTTTTACCCACTCTTCATTGCAGTGTGTGCTCGCAAAGTGAATGGAATCTTTGGTTAGATTCCCGTGATAAGTCATAGCGAAAACTATAACCTTCATCACCTTTGTATCAAACAATTGTTGCGTGCTTGGTAATCTTATCGCACCCATAGGATACTATATATACTGTAGCATGGTCAACTGGAATAATTTTGGTTTTACTGCCCAGATTATGAGTTATTGACCCTAAATCAAAGGATAAAAACCGCTTTATATTAAATAGAATATTCATTATAATTCATTTTTGTCTTGCAGCTCAAGGAGAGGTTGAGGAACTAGAGCCCAAACATGTATACGAAAATCTTTCGCGCTGTGATAATCGGAGCCCCCGGTTCGGGCAAAGGAACTATTTCGAATCTGATCTGCAAGAACCATGGATGCGTGCACATCTCCACGGGCGACATCCTCCGTCAGAACATCATGAAAAACACGGATCTGGGAAAGAAGGCCAAGGAGTACATTGCCAAAGGTCAACTGGTTCCTGATGCGATTGTGACCAAAACGACGTTGGCGCGGATAACCGAGGTGGGCAACAGGTCATACATCCTGGACGGATTCCCGCGCAATATTGCCCAAGCCGAGGCACTGGCCGCCCGCGAGCAAATCGATGCCGTGATCACGCTGGACGTTCCACACAATGTGATTATCGACCGTGTCAAGAATCGCTGGATCCATGCGCCCTCCGGCAGGGTGTACAACATAGGGTTCCAGGATCCCAAGGTGCCTGGCAAGGATGATGTGACGGGGGAGCCGCTGACTCAGCGCGAAGACGATAAACCCGATGTGGTGGCTAAGCGACTGCAGCTCTACGATGAGCTAATGAATCCGGTGATAGCCTGGTACGAAAAGAAGGGCCTGGTGGCCACCTTTAAGGGCAAACAGACCAAGGAGATCTGGCCGAGGATGGAGCTCTACCTCAAAGACCGCATAAATGCGTAATGGGGGAGCACCCCGAATTACATCCAATGTGCACAAACTAACGATAAACTGCTGTGTTCAATTAAGTGCATAACATATTTATATATATATACATATATAAATGAATACGTATGTAATATGTATGTTTGTGGGCCGGTTGAAAGGAACATGCGTATAATTAATGTAATTGCGAAGCCTTACAATGTAGCAGCTGTCGTCATGTATTCCTTTTTCCACACAAATCATTCCCCTCATGTCTTGCAGCTCCCCGTTTTTTGTATAAACATATTTTTGTACTCGTATTCTGTGCTCTGATAATAAATCGCGTTGGTTATGTGTATATACATACATACATTTGCGCTGATAACGCCGTAACAGCCGACTTTGACTTTTGGGGCAGTTAACGGACAGCCGTCGATCTATTTTTAGCCAATGTCCACAAACACGGCCCCATGCGTGAAATCAACACTTATGGCTTCACCTGATGTCACCCAAATGCCCTTCATTTTATCGCGTAGCGCATTAAACTTTTAGAGATGTGGGATAGTGTGCGCTCCCGTTTACTCTTGCCCTCTCTTACGCACACATGCAGCGGACCAGCTGCTGTTCTCACGCACACCTGTATAGTGGCAAATCACAACAGAGAGGCGCTTTATTGACAGTCAAGGGCACACAATTAGGTCAGGTATTAATTAATAGGTAATAATAAATATTCAAATCCATATGTGTTTTTAAAGGTTTACTTCATAATAATAAGAAGATAATACATTAAATATTTTTGGCTCGAAGACTATGAAAATACAATTATTAAGAACCTTAGTTTTGGCCTCCACTGTACTGAGAGCGCTTTTACACCTCTCTCTCTCATTTAGAGCTGACTTTGCGCCTGGCCCCATATTACCGCATTTCAGCACGCCAACAGAGCTCGCCTCTCTTCGCACATGCCTCCACCCCTGCCCCCTCGCTCGGTGCGTTTGGCTTGGCATTTCCTGAAACAAATGCCAGTACTGAAGACTCGTGAAGAACGAAACGAAATTCAATTGCAAATGCATCGGGTGGCAATTGAAAGCTTATCGATGAATGAAAGGCGAGCACCGATGGCAATTGAAGGAATTTGCGAGCAAGCATCTCGAAATTGCTGTGGAGCGGAGGGGGGAGCCCCATAAAATGGCCGCTGTGCTTTGTTAACTGATGGAGTTCTTTGTTTATGCGAATGGGGCCGCAACGAAAGTCCAGCTGGCCATCGGGCGGACAATGGGTTAAAAACCGCTGACAAAACAGAAAGAGTAGACATGATGGCCAAATGCGTTGAAAACCACATTTGTTTATATGTTTATATTTATATGTTTAGATGTTTATATGTATTAGATTACTCGATCTAAGCAAAATCTTTTTGGTGACAAGATCCCAAGTAAATAATACTAATTAACATAAACTAAGAGCTCAACGGCCAAATGGCGTGCAAGCTCATATCTGATATTATTTCTTTGAATGTCTACAGCGGCCTGAGTCACGGATGATGCAAGCCGGGCTTTGAAATATGCCAGGAAACCGCAAGGTATGCTCGACTACTGGCACTTACCGCGTATTTTGGTGCGCTTGCTCACGTTCATCCAGATCTCGCCGCGAATTATGTCGCCCGCAAAGTAAACCCGATCCGCACTGTCCAGCGTGATTCGCAGCCGCTCGCTTTCCATTCTGCTGGCGATGATGGTGATGACTCCCCCGGTTTGGCCACTCTCATCAAGCACTTATCCAAAAATAATTCCGTCATCAAAATGCCGCCACATCGAAACGTACTTGGATGCACTGCAGCACCACGACCCGCACCACCCTAAAGTATATGCAGAATAGTAGCACCACCACACGCACACGCACACGCTTCGCGATTTACGATTTACGATGTAGGATTTTACTACACACACCGCGCGGAGAGTGGGAGCTTTTTCGCGGTGATTGTGGCCAATTCTTGGGGAATCTCGATATCCATCAATCCGCAATGGGCCACAAGTGTTTGTCGCACACCCCGGGCTAATTCAATTCGATTGCAGGCGACCGCTGGCGGATTGAATAATTATATTTCTTATAAATTTACGAGATCCGAGAGTTACGCTTTTTGTTGTAGCTGCAGCTCTCTTTCGATAACCTGGAGAGCGGCGGTCCGATAGCAGAAACAGCTGTTGCGCGGTGCTGCCACCTGGCGGTTGGCTAGCTGAAGCGGTTAATTCGCAGACTTTTGAACCGGTTAGTCGAAAAGTATTTCAAATTGTGTTTAATTTTAAGTTCAAGAACTATACAACGTTTTATAGTGCAATGTTTTCAATGTTCAGTTTGTAGTCTCTAGAAATGCTTGTTTTATTGTTTGAAAGTTGAATTCAATTTTTTGGTGACTGAAGTGGTTTTTTAACAGAAACGCTATGTTTAAATATCAGCGGTACTTTAAGTTTAAGTATTTCATTAAGATTAAAGAAAAACTTTGTTGAAATATTCATAATAACCAGGCTTTATAATCTTCTTTGCAGATAATTACCATAATCGCAGGCTTAGTAAAACGCGTTGTATATGGGACACACATATACATAAAGTTTTTCGTGTGCTTCCCCGTTTATGACTTCCCTTCCTCTTCCAACTTGCATACTTCTACACGAGAAAAATCGCTCCGCAGTCCAACAAAGTCTTTTGATTATTCAGTATTAAGCCAGAGCTGCTCGCGTTTGGTGCTCGCGAGCTGAGTTGCCGCCGATTGCCGGAACGCCCGAATTCCTGGAATCCCAACCACCCCACACCATATCAATAAACCAAACACAGAAAGGAATCTGATATCTAGATACCGCCTAACACCGTCGCCAAGGAGCCAATTCTGGACAGGATGAGCAGCAAGGTGAACTTCGTCTTCGACAGCAATCCCCTGGGGGTCTATCAAGCCGGTCAGCTAATCTCCGGCACGGCTGAACTGGTCACGGAGCGTCCAAAGACGATTCGCTGTAAGTGGCACAGACATGCGGAAGAAGACGCAGTACATACATATTCCAATGGACTCGCAGCCATGACGTCATCCCCCTCCATCTCCAACCCCATTCAAATTCTGATTCCCATTCCCATTCGCATACCCATGTATACCCATTCTCATCCACTTTCGTTGCGTAGTCGCGGCGTCATTAATATTGTTGGTGCTTTGTTGTTATTGCTGCCGGTAGGTCTGTTTGAAAGATGTGTATTGTATAAAGTCGATTTTATATACATACACACATGTGGCCGCTTGGCTAACTTCGGATATCTGATAGCTGCCGGAAAACTAGTTTTGTTTAGAAATTGCGTACGCTGTCTGTATCATTAGATATTTGATTCAGTTACTGGTCAGCCCATTCGTGCCACTACCTTTAAATTGTGCTCTATAGGTCGCATTTTCGATGAATTAGGGGTGATTCATACATATATAGATCCATACAAATCCCATTAGCAAACTAAGTCGACCTTAGCCATATGCGAAAAGCCCATCAAGTATTGACCAGGGTATCCAACAGTCGAACTTCAGCAGCACTTTAATTCGACGGTGAACTTTATTAGGTAGCATTCGCCTTTTGTTATGCTTATGCCTAAATTATTGTTAGTTAATTAACCAACAGTTGCTGTAGCTGAGCCATTTTCCAATACAATTCCACATCCGCAGCACACAAAAGGTCCAAGGTCAGCGGCAATTAAACTAAATGCATAATTGAATTACATACCCGGCAGTACAGACAGTACAGACAAATTAACCCAATTGCAGCGATCTTTATAACCATAAATGGATACGGCGAGACGCGCTGGCAGGAGAGCGAGGAGCGAGTGGGCGAGGATGGGAAGACGACCAAGTCTGCGGTGACCCACACCACCACCGAGGTCTACTACAGCACTGATCAGCCGGTTTACGGACAGGCCGGCGGATCCCAGCTGGAGCTGCCCACCGGCAAGTACGTCTTCCCCTTCCGGACGACCATTCCGCCCAACGCACCCACCTCCTTCAATGGTGCTCATGGTCAGATTAAGCACGAGGTCACCCTGACCATTGATCGCGCGGTTCGCTACAACAACACCTTTAAGCAGTGCTTCACGGTGATCCTGCCACTTGATCTCAATCAGCGGCTGGAGTATAAGGTATGTAGTCTCGGTTCTTCCAAACTGGATAAGCTAACTTGAAGCCCTCTTCACTTAGGAACCCCTGCAACGCTTGGAGTCGAAGAGCTTCTGGTGGGGTTCAATTTTCGGTGCCCATAAGCCGATGATCATGGACGTGAGCACCTCCTACTCTGCCTACGTGCCCGGCCAGAAGATCCATTTCCATCTGGTGCTGGACAACCAGTCGGATGTGCAGTGCATGGACGTGAAGGTGCGTTTGCTCAAGAACGTCTCGTATCGAGCCAACTCATCGGGGGCGAAGGAGCAGCTAAAGGTCACCGAATCTCGGGTGGCGGACAAGCATTGTGGTGAGGTGCTGAAGCACAACAAGGCCAAGTTCAATGAGTTCCTCATGGTGCCGCCAACCACGCCATCCACACAAAGCGAAAAGGATCCCATTCGAGTCAGCTACACACTGCGCTTCATCGCCAAGACCTTCAAGCTTCACGGTGGCGGCGACTTGGTCATGGACTTTCCACTAACCATTGGCACAGTGCCGCTGCTGGGAAGTGCCGATGACAAGGGACCCGTGGCGGAAAGGGCCCAGCCTAGTGCTGCCTCCCATCCAGGTGAGTTTTCCATTCAAGAAAGCAGACTCCTTAGTGTTATTAATCGGCATTTCTGCGGCTTAGGCTCGCCCAACTTTCAGGAGGACGTCAGTGAAGAGCAGTTCGAGGCCAACGCCTTTAAGCCGAGATATCCCGTCTACCCATTTGATGGAAAGCCCGGAACTAATGGCTCCAACGGGGCAGCCAATTTTCCAAGTCTTTACCCCAAGGTAGCGGATGCGCATCCTGCTACACCTGTGAAATTCACACCCAATCCTGTGTCGCCAGCCTCACAAAAATCACCACCATATCCGACCAATATACCCGTTGCTGCGCCGCCAAGCGACAATTTTGAGGTGCTCGGATTCAGTATACCACCAGACTATAAGCCCACGCCCAGTGCTCCAGCCGCTTCTTCCACTGGCGGCATTGGGTGGAAATAGGGACCACAATCCAACCATTTCGTATTCTACTCTATTCTAAGCCATTTTGAAATGCACAAGAAAGCCCGCGTAAGTGGCAACGCTGTGCTCGTGACAGCAGAAGTAATATCGACATTTTACATTTAAGAATTGTATAGTCCCAAATTGACTTTTATCAACTTGAGCATAAACATAGTGATCTGGTTTCAGGGATTATGCTTACTATTACAAATATATTAATGTTCCAATAAACGATACAGATCGAGTGTAGTAATCATGTTTACACAATTAACAAAATCCCACAACTGGAAGTTAAATGCTAGCTATTTTCTAGCTATAATCGCCTGCCCGATAGCCAACAGCTGCCATCGCTGCATGTGGAAAGCTCATCTCCAGCGGCTCGAACAGCTGATTCCGTGCACTTGCCGACGTAACTTGGCTCGTTTTGTTGTTGTTGCAGAGAGGATTGGAGCAGAGCGACGTGAATTGGGGAAACCAGTTTCATTTTGTGGAAGTGGAAAGAGCGGCCAGCTTGGACAGCAGCAACTGCAACGGCATCTCAACGGCGGTGCTATTACAAATCTGGCGAAAAGAAAGTTTTGACGCAATCCACGGGCCGCTGCCTGTAATGAAGAAGCGTCGCCGCCGCAGTTTCTGCTGCACTCTGCCCGCGAACGGACGCATCTGCTCCAGGTGAGCTGAGATTCATCATCACCATCATCAGCATCATCATTATTGAGCGTGCCAGTGACTTGTCTTTGTCTCTTTATCTGAGCAGCAGCATCGGAATTTTGGGAACTGGACAACGGTCGGCGAAACATCGAACAACAAAAGCGGGAAAAAGTGAAATCGCTGATAAACCCGAATACCTACCAAGCTATTGTCAATCAATGAATGCTCGTCTGAACCTGGAGTGTCAACTTGGGAGCACTGCGAATTGGCGCGCAATTGGCCATAACAGAGATAATAGTGAAGTAATCGCAGTGACATCCGCACGCTCCGTGGAGCATGACACTTGTAAGTTCCATCCTCAGATGGATTCCACTCCTACTATTTCCCAATTCCTGTCTACGCACTTGTACACACAGTATACACCAATTTGTCCATCGACTTGATGAATGTGTAAACAACTCGAAGTTTGCACCCTGCCGCACCTCGAAAACGTTTTGAATGAAAGCTACAGGCAAGCTTGACTAAGTCCGATTTTGGTAAACTCCATCTGTGATAGCTAGCAGTGCAGCACAGCATGTATTCTGGTTTTCTATTTTATCAACAAACAAACTCAAGCTTACAATTAAATTACAAATTAGAAAGAGCCTTCTGAGACTTTAGGCTATACTTATTAGATACATGGCAGTTGCAAATTCCGAGTAGGTGGTTGCAGCCATTGAGTTCCGACTGTAATAACGTCTCCACCTGTCTGCGTTTCTTTATTTTACAGAAATGCCATTGAAAAGTTGGCAGTCGCAGCAATAAAAGTGAAATCCGCACGAGCAAACATACGCACACGAAAAGCGAAACCAAAGCCAGCACCGACGCAGACATGACGGTAACCACAGGCTCAGCCAGCGAGGCTACCGCAGCCACAGCTCCCGTGCCGCGACGCAAGCACAGTACGCGGGAGCAGCTGCATCAAATGCTGGCCGGTGGACTTTCGGCGGCCATTACTCGCTCCACCTGCCAACCGCTGGACGTGCTCAAGATCCGCTTCCAGCTGCAGGTGGAGCCGCTGGGCAAAATCGCCGCCAAAGAGGGCTCAGGAGTTCTTACCTCCAAATACACATCCATCGGACAGGCGGTGAAAACCATATACCGTGAGGAGGGACTGTTGGCCTTCTGGAAGGGGCACAATCCTGCCCAGGTGCTGAGCATAATGTACGGCATTTGCCAGTTCTGGACGTACGAGCAGCTGAGCTTGATGGCCAAACAGACCAGCTATCTGGCGCATCATCAGCATCTATCGAACTTCCTGTGTGGCGCTGCGGCCGGAGGAGCGGCGGTGATCATATCCACGCCTCTGGACGTCATCCGCACTCGACTGATTGCCCAGGACACCAGCAGGGGTTACAGGAATGCAACAAGAGCTGTATCGGCAATTGTCCGCCAGGAGGGTCCTCGCGGTATGTACCGCGGTCTGTCCTCCGCCCTGTTGCAAATAACGCCGCTGATGGGCACCAACTTCATGGCCTACCGCCTGTTTAGTGACTGGGCGTGCGCCTTTTTGGAGGTGAGCGATCGCAGCCAACTGCCCACGTGGACGCTGCTGGGACTGGGTGCCTCCTCGGGCATGCTCTCCAAGACCATCGTATACCCCTTCGATCTGATCAAGAAGCGACTGCAGATCCAGGGCTTCGAATCGAACCGCCAGACCTTCGGACAGACGCTGCAGTGCCACGGAGTCTGGGACTGTATGCGGCTGACCGTGCGCCAGGAGGGCGTTAGGGGCTTGTACAAGGGCGTGGCCCCCACACTCCTTAAGTCAAGCATGACGACGGCCCTGTACTTTAGCATTTACGATAAGCTCAAGCAGGTGCGCTTCTAGGTCTGGCTTCTAGGTCGGGGTTAATGGCGGCTCAAATCCATTGTGCGCCCAAACGAATCTACGCTGTATTTTCTATTTTTATATACATATATCTATCGCAGCGCGTATATAATATTAAGACTTAGGCTAGCTGTTGATTAGTTTTCGGTTGTGCGTATGGGGTTCTCTGTTTATCATAGACCAATCGACTTGGTCCGCGCTTTAGTACACACAAAAGTAGTTGGCGCACCAGTTAAGTTATAGATGTAAGTACAATATGTTAGATTGTAGTTCATTGTCCGAGCAGAAGCAGACACATTCAAGTTATGATTTATCTTTTGTTTAACTCGCAAACGAAAACGACTGCGCTGGCAGTTGATTTGATATTTAATTATCTTACACCTAAGAATTCAGGGAATTTAATAAAATTGACTACATCACTGAAATGAAATAAGGCAACTAGCTTGTTAAGATTTAATTCTTGTTAGCATCCGAGACTAAAATTTATACATATGTAAGTAATTGTGCGTTCATTATATTTTTTTCAAATTCTTTCCGGTGAAAAGATCGTTCCAATTGGAATAATAATTCCAATAATTTAAATTCCTTTTTATGAAATCATGTTAATGAACAGCTGCTAAGTTCCAAGCATAAGCAATGTTAAGAAAAGCTCGCTCTGTGAGCTTTTTGGTTGTGAAATGAGACGACGGTGTATAAAAGGAAGTGCATCTTGCGGTGCGGCAATACAGATACTTGAGCGGTTTCCCGCCTGGAGAAAATGGCCCTTGAGAAGACCTACACCATCGACAGCAACTCCATTCCTTGGGTTCTGTGGCTACCACCAGTAACAGCAGCGGAGCGTGGTACGCTCACATTTCATGGGCCACAGGTGGTGGCGTTTCACTTTGCTAAGAACCGGCACGGAGACACGTTGGACAAGTGGACAAAGCTGCTCGGCGAGGTGGCCCAGGAGTACGCCGGCCGGATATTGTTCGGCTTGCGTGACATCTCCAGCATAGGGGAGTTCTATGCGAATCTGAATCCGGAGGACTTTGGCAGCTACCGGAAGGGATTGCCACCGCGTATCTATGGCAAGGACTGCGAGGGCCGAATCTACGACATGCACAAGCTGGTCAGCGCCAAGTACCTGCGGGAGTTTTGCGACCAGCTGCTGGGGGATCAGCTCTTCCGTGCCGTAGTCCTGGGCGCCACTCCGTCGCTGGACTGCAAGCCAAGGAATTTCTTCGAGCTGCGGGAGGAGAGCAGCAGCGATGTACTGGTGATGTTATACGATCCCGCCTGCTACTACTGGCCCATCCAGAAGCGGATGCTGCGCAAGCTGGTCTGCCTGCTGTCCAGCGAGGATCTGCCCATTGTGATCGTGGACAAGGCGAATAACTACCTGGGCGTGGACTTCGCCCGCAGGTTGCAGATGGTCAACTGTCACGGCTCCATCATCTTTACCTCGCCACGTCGCGATGGCTGGAACAACATCAAGTTGTCGGTGCGAATGGAGAGCACACGTGGCTATCTGCGATACATTGCCCGCAACAGGCAGCCGGAGCTGATTGACTTCGATGCCGAGGGGGAACCCAGAGCACCGGAGCATGCCATGGAGTGCATCCAGTACCTGTTTTAGATCTCGACTCTAAGTGCGTGGCAAGTCACACATTAAACCTATAATCTATAATCCTTCTTTAGCCTAAGATGGCTTTTTTCGGGTTGGCATCCGTTAGGCATCGCAATACTAAAATCAAATGTTGAAATTAAACATTATTACCAATTCCACTGCTATTCACTAAAGATATTAAACCTGAAGGTACATAAAGGTACAGTAGCAGCCAACCTACATATAGAGAAAAACCTGTAGGCGATAACGAACCAAGCTCGGAATTGCTCCAAGACACCAAAAAATAAGAACTATTTGGTTCAAAGATAAGAGTGTGTATTCAGAACTTGACTTTGTTGTTCGCGTCCCTCGGCTGGACGTGGATCATGACCTTGATAGCGCCTCCGGTGCCGCGGCGGGAGGTCTCAAACGCCTCAGCCGTCTCCGTGATGTCGTAGTGGTGCGTCACTAGACGCTTCACGTTCACCTTGCCCGATGCCACCAGAGCCAAAGCGGCGGAATAGCTAAAATTGGTGAGTTATCAGTTGTGTTGACCCACCATGGTGCCACGAATCTAGCGATTACTTACTCATTGCAGTAGCGGAAGACGCCACGGATGTCGATCTCACGTGCCAAAGCGTTGATCAGGGGCAGTTTGATCTCGGGAGCGCCCATGCCCACAACCACAACTACTCCGCCGGAGCGAGTGGCCTGAAAGGAAGCGGGTTTATGCCTGGCAATCACCTCATACCCAATACCGATCCACTTACGAAGATGGCCAGGCGGGCGCTGCTCTCGGCTCCGCAGCAATCGATGGACTTGTCCGGCACCTCGCTCATCGTCTGGTGAACCACCTTGACGGTCTCCTCGGCGGACTGATCCCGCTGCAGGAGCAGCGTGTGTGTGGCGCCCAGCTCCTTGGCCACATCCAAGCGCTGCTGCACCAGATCGGTGATGAGGATCTCAGAGGCACCCATGGCTTGGGCAGCCTAGGTGGGAGAAAAAGTTCAATCTCCTTAGGCTGGTAGCATATTAATCGACTTCCTTACCAGCAGCGTAACCAAACCAATAGGGCCAGCGCCCAGGATGAGCACCTTTGAGCCCAGACCGACGCCTGCGCGACGGCAGGCGTGAACTCCCACGGACAGGGGCTCCAGGAGGGCACCCTCCTCCATGCTGACGTGATCCGGCAGCTTGAAGCAGAAGTCGGCGGCGTGTTTGTAGTACCTGGTCAGGTTGCCATCGTACGGAGGTGTGGCGCAAAAGACCATGTCGGCGCACAGGTTGTAGCGACCCTGCTTGCAGTGATCGCAGTAGCGGCAGGGCACTCCCGGCTCAATGGCCACGCGGTCGCCCACCTGCAGGGTGGTCACGTTCTTGCCCAGCTTGGCCACCACGCCGGCTGCCTCGTGGCCAATGATCATCGGCTTGGTCAGCACAAAGTCCCCGATGCGTCCGTGGGCCAGGTAGTGCACGTCGGATCCGCAGATGCCCACGCTGTCCATGGCCAGGAGAACCTCTGAGCAGGAGAAGGGAATAGGAAATCTGTCATCAAATTTATGTATGTATGTATCTATGAATCGATTCCTAGGCAATTGGGCGGTCGAGTGATGTATTTTTATGACTAGCAATACTTGCAATACAATGATCTAAATCACTCTACTAGCTGGGTTCATGATAACCTTGTAATCTGTGCTATCAGAAGGCCTTATCAGATGGTAAATGTGGTATAAATGAACATAGCTTAATTATGATAGCCTTTCGGTACAATATCATTTCAACAGCTCATGCAATCACTACCTTTTATTACTTGAATAGCAACGATTAATAAATATATGCATTTAGAAACCAAATACATGTCTCTAGTTCGAACTTAACAGAATGTATATACATAGGAGCTTTTTTCTTAGTGTACGAATCCCTTACCATCGTCGGCGATTTCCGGAACTGGGCGTTGCTCCTGCAGGAAGTGAATTAGCAGTTGCCTGACTTATTTCCGGTTTCTACTTACCAATCGCAGGTCCTCGATGCCGTGGAGAACCGCTGTTAAATTATCTGTTGCCATGATTACCGCTTGATTTCTCGTATTTCCACTTTCCGTTGCACAACCGCTCGCTTGGAAGGCCGATTTAGCACTGAATTCAGTATCCGATCCGCCCGATATGCTGTGCTGGCATATATATGTATGTATGTGTTTGTATATAATGTATATTTTTCTTAATTTTGCGTACTTATGTGTGTGTTTGCTTGGACGGGAATACAGTTATTATCAGTTATGTTGGCTGTGAAGTGCCGAAGCTACGCACTGTTATCATCTAACATTGTTGCCCAATTTACATAGATACTTTCCGGAATAGCGGTACTTATATGTATCTCTGCCTTTTGCCTAAATTCCTGTTATTGTTCAATAAGGCGAGCCCCTAAGTTCATTTTACTCGCTCTCGCCTGTAATTTGTTGCTGTTCGTTCTCTCGCTTACTCACATGCGTCCAACCCCGAGAACAGCTGTTTTGTATTTACCCCAAGTGCTTACATATTTCGTGTGGGCGTGTTGCCGGCCAAAACAAAACGGAGAAGAAGCTTGTTCTCTCCGAGTCGTTCTTATTACATACACTGAAAATATTTGTTTACGATTAATTAATTTAATTTATTGGCATTCGATTGCGGGTTATCATTAAAAAGTAAATAGATAATAAAATTGGATAAAAACAGAAGATTTTAAAACTACTATACTATACTAATATACAATTCTGACAAGTGTACGGAAACGTACATGTGGCCAAATACGTTATCAGTTGATTTATAAGCTTGCGCTGCTGGAAGTTAATTGAAAAAAAAGTACGTACATGTATGTATGCAAATAAGAGAATCTGTAGCTTTTCCCACTTAAGAACGCAATAAGATTAACCAGTTTGCTTATGTTTGCTATATGCTTTTATTGGCTTTATTTCTCTGGCTAATATATTCATTTCAATAAGTGTTTGATATTCGGGTTCTTAACATATAGAATTTCTATTTTAAAAACGTTTTCGCTTATATAAGTATGTGTATAAATGTCCGTGTGGCATTGCTGCGGCTTTTTTATTGACGTAGAAATAAAAAATGTTTGCTTAAAACTAAGAAAAAGTTCCCATCACGTCAACTGCGCATTTTAAGTGGCTGCTTTATTTGGTTTTAGTTCGTTTTGAAGATAAATGCATCATATTCTGTAAATGCTATACGTTCCTTAAACAGTTTTAAATTTGGCTTTGAGTTATAGAAAGGAAAGCTGAGTTTCACGTTTGCAGGCTAGTGCCCAACTACAACAGTTTACTGTCTTTTTTTTTATTTGATAACCTTGCAAATTGTCATAAATTAGAGTGGATGGATTTGATGTAGCAAACTAATTGGAAAAGTACAATAATTTGGTTACTGGGGCTTCCCATCAGAGGGAATCAGACAAAAAACGAATTTCAACCTCTAAATATTGAGCAATTATTAGTTTTGGCTGACACTTGCAAGATTATATCAGTTTCGGACTACCGAGCTATTTAGAAGTTTTCCTTGCATTATAGACGCTGTGCGAGTGTTAGATCTCTAGTAACTTAAGACTTTCTAGGGCTTGGATTATGTATGTTGTGGCTTTGATATCCATGTATATATATATATTGTATATCCGTTCACTAAAGCTGCAATTGCAGAGACATGCGATGATGTCAAGTTGAAAGGAACAAATTTGGCCAAAGGAAACTTAATGTGTCGATCTGCGTATGTAATTACGTTTTTTTTATATCACACTTATGGTCGAAACGAAACTGGAACCAGGAACCAGGTCCTCACATCTAACATCCTACATGGATAGTTCCTGGCGCGGTTTGTTGATGTGCAGCCGCTGAGGATCCTGCGGCGCCACACAAATGTCGGTCAGGATGACCACCTCGTAGGGACTGCAGTCGGGCATTCGCAGGAATCCGCACAACCAGCCATAGAATCCCTTCTCGATATCCGTGATGTCGTTCACCCAACTGCTGTACTGCAAACTCAACTGCCGCAATCCCGAGTAGATTCCCAGGCCGAAGGTGCACAGCACGATGGCCAGCGGATAGATCACGAACAGCAGCGGCGTCACCAGGATCTTGTGCAGGTACGTCCGCTCCTCGCAGTAATAGTTGAACATATTGTACCAGGTGAGTGTTCCAATGTAGAATGAGTACACCGCCGAAACGACGGTCACAAACGGCAGGCAAAACAGCGAGATGAGCAGAATGTGTAGACCGGTGCCACAGCTGCAGGTGCAGCACAAATTGCCACCCTTCTTGGCATCGCTGGCCATCGCATGGGCATTCAGCTGCTCCAGCTCCTCGCGACTGATGTTGATCTGTAGATCCACGGACTGGCCCTTTTTGCGACCCCGCTTGATGGTGCCCGTCATGGTCAGGTAGTTGCCGCCGCCCTCCTTGCGCGCCTGATAGCCCCGCTCTAGACTTTGATCGTAGTTGTTCAGGACACTCGTTTCGCCGGACTCCAGATCCTCGTAGTTGGCTATCTCCGGTGAGGAGCGCTGATTTCGCCCCTGGCCGGGCAGATCGGTTGTCCGTATGTTGACCCGCTTCTTGGAGGACGACCGGTTGCTTAGGCAGTCCTGCGACTTGCTCAACTTGGCGTCCAGGCTGCTCTCCGAATAGCAGCTGCTGGGCGTCACCGTGCTGCTCTCATGCCGCTGCGACGTGGACTTGGTGCCTTGCGATATGGATTCGAAGTTCTGCAGCTCGTTGAGATTGCTGTTCGATCTGGCTGACTTCTGGCTGTGCTGCGTGGAGCTGGCCGAGTGGGTACTAGCCAGGGTGTCGTGGGCACTGGGCACTCCCAGCTCTCCCGGCAGCTGCGGCAGCGGCTGCTTGTTCTTGATGATCAGCTTGGACTTGCGGAGCTCCTCCTCAAGTCCCGGATTGGAGGGCGATAACTTGGGCCGATTTTGCTGCAGGAAAAGCAATAAAGAAGTTTATCAATACTATAAGCACAACACGAACTCAATAACTTTTATATGTCGTAATGATTTCGATATTGCTCATCAATAATAAATCACTCCTATCTCTGTCAAGGATTTATATTGCCTAGAGATGCCCTAAAAATAAGCCAAATATGGAGCTTAACTATAGCGTTGTTGTGCAGACAAGACGTAGAACATACGTAGAT